CTTGCCATTCATATCTCGATTGATTTTCTTTTCCATTTGATTGCAAGGAGGACTAGCTTTTCTTTTATCGTAAATGCAACACGAAAGCCATCTAAGAAGAAAAGGAGGGTTGTTGGTGAGTCTAGCCGCGAGGTCGAAGAGAGGTCGGCAGAAGGTTGCCATGCTGCGATTGACCTGAAGGAGGGTGGAAACCCGATTCAGGCCAACCCTGCTCACGTCGCCCTAGTATAACGGGCAAGCATGTCTCACTTCGATGAGGCGACAACTCCTTAGGGCCCAAAGATCTCTCCATTCGTACCTCGAGTCAATTGCTTGATCACTGATTGGATTCATGACCCATATGTGATGCTTCATATGGGAAGGAGTATTCTCCTTCCTAAAGATGTCCACGTTTATCATGAGCTAGATCCCTCTGAACTCGATGCTCGGATTATTCAAAATGCCATGCAAGTAGGCATCTTCACGGCACTTGCTCCGCTGCTTTATTTGTCCCTTATCGAGTTGTTTTTTTGTCCGTAAATCAAGTCACTAGGTTAAGTCGTGCTGGATTAGGTCACCGCTTCGAAGCGTGAGTCCTGCGAGATGAGTGTCAACATAGAAACCCTCCAATCTTAGCTAGAGGAAACCTGTCTCAATGCCAAGGAGGACCATCAGCAATTATGTTCCCTTAGAGCGAGTATGAACCACAAGCTAGAGGAAGCTGAGGGGAAGATTTCCTATCTAAGCGGTGAGCTTCAAGAATAGTGGGCCAGGCACTCTGACGATATTCACCGAGTCAAAGTTGTTGTTTAGCGCTTTCGCCGATCTTTGAAATTTGAACAGGAGAGAATTGAAGCGGCGGTACCTTCTCTAAAGAGGGGCTTCAAACTGTGCCCCCACTTTCTTCCACGCCAGTACCCAAACCTTGACTTGAGCTCTATCTCGCTTAGGTCGGTCCTAGAGGATTTGACCTGAGAGGTCGAGGAAGAGGAAACTACTCCAAAAACGGTAGACAATGATGAGAACGATGGTGAGGGCGACGACGAGAATGATGATTAGTGGCAAACTCCTTTTTTTAGACTTTTGTACATCATGCCTTCGAGTTTGGTAATACTTGAATTTGTTGCAACATGTCCTCTTTTTCCTTGGTTGTATGAAATCCTCTCTTGAATGGAACTTTTGAAGTCTTCCCTTCCTCTCCATTTCTTTTTCTTATCAGGTTGGTGGTGAGATACCTACGTCCTTTGAGATCGATTCAAGTGTGGTAGCAACAAAGTCAAAATGTTGTTGAGCTAGATAAATGGGGGCCGACCTGCATATATCAGTCTACCTATTGCCAATGCATTTCGAGGTTGGCTTGAGGGGGCCTTGAATTTAAAAGTGGTTTAGTTTCCTCTTAGAGTTTGGTTTAACTAGGTCACCAAAGAGGATAGTCATTCTATAATAGCTTTTCTATGCAACTTCAATTGGACATATGTAGGAATTCTACTCACCCCACGAGCTAATCAGTAGTCATGTGGCTGCAAGTGCACCTGAAGCATCTGGGAACTAGGCACAAAACATGATTGCATCTATGCCATCACAAGGGAGTGGCTCTCTCGGGTCTGTGCTTACGGCTCAATGTCGGACATGTACTACACCTACTCCTGGAACTACTGGTCGTCCACTCCTATTGGAGCCCAGGGGGGTTCACCTTAAGGGGGTGGCTCTACTGTCTACAGGTCGCTTACTCTCATGAGAACCATGAAATGTTCGACCTATGAAACAACACCATAGTTAGCTAGTTGCTAAGTCTCACGAGAGTCATGGAGAGCTCGATCAGCAATTAGGGATGGGAGACTATCTAGGACAAATCGCAGAAGCTTGCCCAAGCTGGTCATTCAGATCCTACCCCCTTGTGATAGCATCGTCAATATGTATGTTCCTATTGGCGTTGGACAGTAGGTTAGTGCCACAGCTACACTACGTCAGCCCTCGGAGACACTGGCCATCTACTCCTATGATAGCCACAGGGAGCACAAACTGAGGGGGTAGCCCTACTATCTGTAGGTTGCCAACTCGCATGGGAGCCTTGAAAGGCTTGACTTGCAAATGCGACTACACAATTTGTTGGCTGTCGACTCCCACGGGAGCCGCGAAGGGCCCGACCTATAGAGACAACCTTGTGAATAGAGTTGACGAGGCTCGTTCGGGCTGATTACCTTTGAGTGCAAATTTAAAATGAGAGTTAAGAACCTAGCTTTTAAGTAGTGGTTTTCACAGACTGCACCAATTGATGATGCACGATCTGGCAGCTCCCTACTGGAGGGTAGCTCGGACGCCGAGTTGGCAAGTTCGTCGGGTCAAGCTACAAAAAGACAGTATCAGAGTGCCTGGGCTGCTTTACCTTGGGTGGGCACTCTGATGCTTAAGTCAACGAACTTAAGATTTTGGAGAGAGCTAAAGAGTGAAAGAGGTAGAGAGTTGTGATAGCTAAATTGTGCATACCTCTTTAAGTTAGAAATGAGACCTTTATATAGGTATTATTTGGTGTGAGCTCCATGCACCGCATCCGAGATCTCTAAGAAGATGTGGCTGACTAGTCCGAAGTCATCAAAGGTAGTTTCTCATGCAGCTAGTCTTTTGTGCCTTCCTCCGGAGCATTCGGTATGGGAGCTGACTTTCGAGGGACCTGGAAATGGTGGGATGCCCAAGGAGGAAGTCAACAAGCACGTCTCTCAAACCACCACCTGAACCTCAATCAGGTCAGTAAGTCCTCGAAAGAGGTCACTCCTCACACCAAGGTCCCTTGGACCGGTACTAACGAGATACCATAGATTGGCAAGTCCTCAAGAGAGGTCACCCATCACACCAAGGCCCCTTGGACCAATAACAAGGTACCACAAGTCGGCCCTGGACGAAATGCTACTATCTACCCTACCGAGGTGCCCAAGTTGTGTATGAGGTGCCATGGACTGATTCCGTGATTCGTATCCTTGACTTGGCAAAATACGCCAATGCAAATTAGATAGTCTACAACATCATAATAGTGACCTTTTCCCACACTCAAGTTGTAAAGTTAAATTAATGCATAAACGTTCCCATAAAATGTCTAAGGCACAATAGGCTTCTAGAAGGGGGCAATAGCTACACTCGTGCTCATATATAGATCTTGAGGAGAAGGATGTGAACCCAAATCCAAGATCTTTGCATGGGCATGTAGTGAAACCCTACTTATACTTATTTGTTCCAAACCTAGTAGAATAACAAACTTTTCTGCTTAGAGAAAGTTTCCTTTATCTTTACATGAACTATTTCTATAAATAGAGGAGGCTTGAACCCTTCCTCATGACAGTCCACTACAAGAAAAACGGTCAAAGCCGGCGGTCATAGGACCACCGGCTTAGACCTAAGGCGACAGTCAAGTGTCCACCCCCTTATCAGCTGCCGCCCTAGATTAGGACCGTCGGATTAGATGCAAAAGACCGCCGCCTTAGTACGATCGGCCATCTGAGCCGCCGGCTTAGCATTAATCAGGTGGCAGTTTTGACTGCTGGCTAGATACCAAAAGACCACCGCCTTAGATTTCTGCCAAATTCCCTTATATTCTTAGGTGGCAGTCTGAACCACCGGCTTAGGTGTTAAATGACTGCCGCCTTAGGTGTTGTTTGTGGCTAAACCGGCAGTTCCATGACCGCCGGCTTAGATTTCTTTTTTTTTCATTTTTATTTATACAATTATACCATGTTAATTCTGACATTTTGTGATATCTGAATTGTTTATTGATTTAGCATTTTCATACCTATTTAATGCAAAAAAAAAACATTTGATAAAAATCAATGAAATCTATTAATTCAAAGATTATATATTAAAGTATCCAAAATACATTGTTCAAATACAATATCCAATTGAACATATTGGTTAAACCTGCAAATCAAAAGATATAAATATTAGAATTATATTCAAGTATTTAACTATAAAGATAGGGATAGTAACTAAAATTTACATGGGCTGAATTCTAAGCAATTAATTGGAATATCAAAAGTAATTCAAAATATTTTGTAGCATCCATAAAGGCATACTAGCAATGGACAGAAAATGAAGCAGCTAGTTTAGAAGGTTCAAAAGTAAAAGAAAGAAAAACAAAGGGATTTTTGTCATAGCCTGCAGCTGAAAACATCCTTGTTCAGATCTAAGTATAAACCTCCTTTTTTTTCTTAAGCATCTTTTGTTGCTTCAGAACTTCTTCAATATCAAAGACACATAACAAATGGTATCATGCAACTTATCAGCAGCTTCTTGTTTCCTTTGCTGTAGCTGCAAAAGAAATTCCAACAGCAACTCCTGCTTCTCTATTTCCTACCTTAGAAAGGCTAAGTATCATTATCTATTATGAATAAATGACTACTAAGTAAATACAGATGCTAAACACAAGTCCACAGCCACATTATTTGTTTCAAAGCACAAGGATTTAAAGACATGATCAATGCAATAACAGATGAACGAAAACTGATCAAAGGTGCACTTGGCTATTTTTGGTCAGGCAAGGTGTTGAAATTTCTCRCACTTTAGGGCGTGGTTAGATAGTGGGAATAATAGTTCGGGAAAAATARGTTGTTGTTCATATTCCTTGGTGGATCTGGTCCCATTCATTGGTTAAGTTCCAGATCCGTATATGGATAGATCCTCCAGGTGCTGTTCCAGATACAGATCGAGTAGTTTACCAAGAAAGAAAGGAATAGGCGGGGTTTCGCCCGTAGAGTCAAAGGCAGGGCGCGTTGTAAGGCGATCAATTTTATATGTGATTCGATAATTAGGATATGGATTTGAATCCGGAACTTGAGTCTTGAAGTCTGCAGCTTCTAGATTTATGAATTCCAGAATAAGATTGGTCAGCCACCATAACTAACCAAAACATAAAAAACTAATGGCCATCATAAGAAACTATTTGGGATTAGCTACATAGTCGCCTGAGATCCTCTCAATGCAAGAGACATCTTCAATCTGAGCTAGATTGAGCTCCATCTCAAGATCTCCTGACATTTGAAAAAGGATTAACATTCACTAGCAGCAAAAATACTGCTATTAGCACTAGAATTATAAGATCAATGTTTAAATAACTCATTAGATCAAGATCAAATAAGAGTTAGATTAACTATAATACTATTTTTATCATACAGGGGCAGACATACTACCAGGAGACCACATAGATAATCGAATGTGAATCTTGCTTCCCCATTACAGCTTTTAGGAACCTCCAAAGTTCTGATTTAAAACATAATGCAAGCATTGATCAATTGGAATCAGGAACCTCCAAAGTTCTGATTCCAGGACCACAAATCCCATGGTCTTGCAATTATCTCCCCTACTTTATGGTACTAACAAGCTTTTTTCATGTATTATATAATAATACCCAGGTGGCAAGTTGCTTGGCCCACACCCAAACTCATGCAAGCATGATACTCTCTTTTGGGTTTGCATGATTCAAAAAACTAAAAGCAATAGGCTATAGAATACCACCAAATGGGTTGCATGGTTACAAAAAGTCACTTTTTTGCAACTTTGACAAAAGTGGGGCCCAGTTTTTTCAACCATACCGCAAGTTTTCTTATGGACCAACCAAATGGTTCATAACCAAATGATAGAAAGTACTATGAGCAATAATAGAAAGAGCAAATTTTTCATCTCCTCTCTCCTATTGGATCCAATATGACCAAACTGAATGTGATCTAACCTATTGCTACCTCCCCTAGCTAGTCCTATATGACCCAAACACTTGATTTGCTTTTGAGTAAATGCAACCCAACTAGAGTTTACTGTAATCTACACTCCCAAGTCAACTCAAGAGTGAATAAATGAGGCAATAATTCTAATAAGGAAGATGGGACAAAAACTAGGGTAAATGGATATATTATATATCATATATGAACTACAGGAAAATGTCAAAAAAGAAACCTAAACCGGTTCTCAACCCTAATAAAAGAACAAATCCTAAACTCCAAACATCAATCACAAGCACTCTTTATCAAACATGATCCCTAAAAGTTGGTTTCAAATTGTAGATTAAGACATGCCAACAAACAAAGTAGTAGGCTGTTCATAGTCAAGAAAGAAATACTCCATGACCAATATCATTTGTTTTCTTCCTCTTAAATCTGAAAATAAATCAAACTATTAAGGTGCAATTTTGTTTCTTACTTTTGGTTCAAAGCATTTCATTGACCACCATTTCTTATTATAATCCAGCAATTAGTCATCAATAGAAAGCCAAAACTATAAATTATGTCTTAATCCTGCTTGATTATGTATAGAACATGATAAAAATATCTCTATCCATCTATAGTATAGAATGGTCAGACCCAAAATTCTAATATATCTTTGAAACATGAACACATATAAAAGTTCAATAATTAAACTAAACCACCTGAATGAGAAGAAAAAAGAACAATTCTCATATGAAGAAATTTTAGAATGGTAGGATTCTCAAATATCTTTAGGAAGAAATAAGTTAAATAAGCATGTGAATACAAAGAACTAGAAAGAAATACAGAAACAATGTATCTTGAGGTGCTGTAATTAAGAACCCAAGAACAAGAAAGAAGCTCAAGGGAAAGGCCTCGATTACATCCTCAAAGACTCAAAATTAGAAGATTACCTAAAGAAACCTCTTAATACCGTCTCATTTGAATTAGGACAAATTGAAATGTAAATTATCCTCATATAAATTCAAAAAAAGAAAAAGAAAAAATCTCAGATGAACCAGGATTACTTAAAAAAGTAAGCTATCCTCTTACAGTAATAGATTAAAAAATTAGTCAACCAAAACTTATCTAGAAAAGCAGAGAATTACAATCATATCTTAAGAAAGGATTTGAGTTGGAAAATCTTTTCTTCCCACTTAATTTTCTCCTAATTCTATAAAGTAGAAGAATTTACAACTCTTTCCCTTTACAGGAAGGGTTTAACATAATTGCAGAGTTTCTTCCAAACAAGTCAGGTCTATGACACTACTAAAGAAAGCTTAAGAGGAAACAATAACAACATATCTCTTACATCTTGATATTGTTGTTGATGATTTCACAAGGATAAACATGGGAACGAAGATCCCACCACCACCAACACCCCCACATTCCCAAAAGCTACTCCAAAGAAGTCAATAATCGTATCCAAGACACTCTGCTAGACAAATTTCATATCCTGTAAATACATATCAAAATCAGACCTTTAACATGCAGTTGGAGCAAAATGAAAAAAAAAAAAAAATGTTTACATACGGCTTGGTAAACATACCTCTTGTGCTTGCTCTTAAGAATCGTTGACGATGACGGCAAAAAACCCCCAAATGGCAGAAATCCCTAAAGACAATACATGTGGGTGAGGTCGAAGCACAAATGAATCAACCACAAAGAAGAAGGCAGTGACGATATTTTGAGAGAGAGAGAGAGTGAGTGAGTGAGTGTGAGAGAGAGAGATCTTACTTTCACCACTGCAACTGGTTTTCTGCTATGGAGAGAACCCTTTTTCGTTAGAATTATGTTGAAAGTGGAATTAGCTGAACGCGGGAGTTTTGGCTTTTGGATCTCTCAGCGTTAAGTTATTTAGACCGGTTCAATTTAAAAAGCGTCGTTTCAGTTCTAAAGATCGCGTGGGAATTAGCAGAACGTGGGAGTTTTGGCTTTTGGATCTCTCAGCGTCGGGTTATTTAGATCGGTTCAATTTAAAAAGTGTCATTTCAGTTCTAAAGATCGCCGCTCAATTTTTATTCTTCTATATTTTAATTTTCTAGGCGGCAGTCCTTGAAAGAATGCCACCTCAGATCTTTCTATAGCGGCGGCCTTGAAGACCCGCCAACTTGAAACCGCCGGCTCAGGTCGTTTTTCTTATAGTGGTCTTACATACATCTTGTGTAAACTCTGCCGCATTAAGACCTCAAATTCCCTGATCGGTCTCCCTTTACAACCTACTCTCTCTCTCTTCTCAACCCACTAGTTTGTGTTCTTTGGCGGTTCTCTCATCTCCTAAAAATATAAGAAACAACAAAAAATGTCTAAGTTATCTATAGAAAATGAATATTGAGCCATATTATCAGTTTATAATGAAATTGTATGACTTGAGGCCTTCTTGCATGACAAGGATCATTCCTCTCCGATTCCTTTATTTGGTGACAACACGAATGCAATAAAAAAATGGTACAAATTATCTTCCATGAACATACTTAATACATTTAGGCCAATAAACACTTTATTAGAGATCAATTCTTTTCAGCTCATAGCACTCTTCTTAGCCTATAAGGGGCCCTTCCCACTTGCTCTGAATTAGCCAAGAGATCAATTCACATTGATCATACTTTCCAGTTATGTTTGGAGGGTTGTGAGTGTTGGAGAAAAAAAACAGGGGTCACTGTAACTTTGGAGGAGAAGCTCTGAGGCGCGTCTGAAAACACTGTCTTTAGAACGTTATTTTCCCCCACTCAGTTTTACTGAGTTTGCTGTTGCGTTACAAGCAAATTCGTTCCCAGAATACAATAGAGCCTTGGGCGAGAATATTCAACCAGCAAAGTTGAAGATAGTGAGTGAATTTAGAAATTGTGTGTTTTGGAATCTGACTCATGCTCCTTAAATAATTTGTGAAGAGGTATGAAGAAAATGTAGGTGTTGGTTTAGAGAAAGCACCTTGAACAGTCACAATTTCAAACATTGTGATTGTTTAAAAATTAGTTAACAATTAGTGACTGTTAACTTTGAATTGTGCCTCTTGATCACACCCGATCGAATTATGACCGTTGATCTCATCAACGGTGATCAAGGGTCAGCAATGCACCAAAACCAAAGTCGCCCATAGCGAGCCACGCGGGTGAGAGCAAAGTGCGCCTCATTGCGCCGCACACACGCGTGCGCGCGTGTTGCGCAGTATCGAATCCCCATACTCTCCTCTACTAATTCTAAGGAGTGTAAATCAGCTCCTATTGAAATACTAAAAACAAAACTTATAATTTTCCAATGTGGGACAAGTTCAAAACTGGGTTTTGTAAGAGAAAAACTGATTTTTCAATCAAGTGTGCAAGTGCAATTTCTCATATAATTGACCAATCAAACCCATTGGATTTAATCTCTTATGAGATTAAAATCCAACAATCCCCCACATTGATTAATCAATTACATAGTTCTCTCTCAATCCAAACTAATATGACACAGTTATGCATTCAAAAGGTGTTTATCAACTTAAACCTCTTGTTAGTATAGTTATCTCAGAGCCTTGTCAAAGTTTTTGGTGGTAAAACCTTAAACCAATTACTCTCAAGACAGACCAGAGACACCCATACACACAAAAATGTCCGGTCTCTGCAAGAGTTTCAAGTTTTGCTCAGCACTGTTATGGCCATGTGCTTCTTTTCTGGTTTCATGAACAATCTCGAGATCAAACTCAAACTCTCATGAGAAGCGGCACCACTTCTATGTTCACATAGGTGAAGTTCCACTATGTGCTCCGTTATTTGACACATTTCAAAGCTTCATCAATAATTTATCTCAACCTTTCATCATAACGAACAATATTGTTTATGTTGTGATGGGAAATTTCTCAATGTCAGTGCTAACAGTCACATTGTTGTAAGTTGTTGTTACCAATTAAACCCAATACTGATGGTTTTTCAGTTCAGGTTGGGTTACCATTACAGGTGACTAAGTAAAGGGTTTTAATCTCATCTCTTTGGTTGTCATTCTTACCAATTCTCTGGCCAAGCCCTTGGTAAAAGGATCAGCCATGTTTTTACTTAACCTCACATAGGTTATAGTGGCGACTCCATCTTGAATCAGTTGCCTAACAAATTCATGTCTCAAACTTATATGTCTGGACTTACCATTGTAGGTAACACTGTAGGCCCTTGACAGAATTACCTCACTATCACAGTAAATGGAAATTGGAGGCATAGGACTAGGCCAAAGTCCTAATCCATTCCTAATCCATTCAGCCTCTTTTTCAGCAGCCGCTAAGGCTATGAATTTGGATTCCATGGTCGAGTGACATATACAAGTTTGTCTCTTGGATGCCCAAGAGATTACACCCTCACCAAGGACGAAAATCCATCCAGATGTGGACTTGTTATCTCCATTACCGATAATCCAACTTGCATCAGTGTACCCTTCTAGTACAGCTG